TGGTGTTGTGCTGGAAGACTGAAGAAGAGCGAATGTTGTCCCGATCTTCAAGAAGGGGAAAAAGTCGGACCCGGGAAATTACAGGCCTGTCAATTTGACATCAATACCTGGAAAAATTCTAGAGCAGATCATTAAACGCTATGTCTGTGAGCACCTTGAACAGAATGAGTTAATCGGTAGTAGCCAGCATGGGTTTATCAAGAATAAGTCATGCCAGACTAACCGTATCTCCTTTTTTGACAGAGTTACTAAAATGGTTGGCTCTGGCAATGCTGTGGATATAGTGTATTTAGATTTCAGTAAATCATTTGACAAAGTTTCTCATGATATCCCTGAGGATAATCTGGTTAAGTGTGGGCTGGGTGGTGCAACCATTGGATGGATTCATGGTTGGTTGAAAAATCATACCCAACGAGTGCTCGTAAATGGCTCTGTACGTGGAGGGAAGTCTCGAGTGCAGTGCTGCAGGGCTCAGTCCTGGGCTTGGTGTTCAATGTTTTTGTAAATGATTTGGAGGAAGACATGGTATGCTTATCAAATTTGCAGATGACACTAAGGTGGGTGGGATTGCTAATTTTGAAGAAGATAGAATCAGGATTCAAAATTATCTAGATAGGCTGGAAAAGTGGGCTGAGACAAATAAAATGAATTTCAATAGAGATATTTGCAAAGTCCTAACTTAGGTCCAAAAACCTAAGGCACAGATATAGAATGGGAGGGACTTGACTTGAGCAGCACATGTGAAAGGGATCTAGGTGTTCTGGTTGATCACAAGCTAAACATGAGCCTCCAGTGCGATGTGACTGCGAAGAAAGCTAATGCAATCTTAGGATGCATTAACAGAAACATCATGATCACAGAAGGTGGTAGTTCCGCTCTATTCTGCTATGGTCAGGCCTCACCTGGAGTACTGTGTCCAGTTTTGGGCACCACATTTTAGGAAGAATGTCGACAAGCTTGAGTGTGTCCAGCAGAGGGCAACCAGGATGGTGAGAGGGTTGGAATCCAAGTCTTATGAGGAAAGGCTGAAAGAGTTGGGTATGTTTAGCCTGGGAAAGAGAAGGTTTAGAGGGGACATGATTGCAGTCTTCAAATATTTGAAGGGCTGTCATGTAGAAGATGGAGCGGATGCTCCGGATTGCAAGACTAGATCTAATGGGTGGAAATTACAAGAGAGTCGATACCAGCTAAATATCAAGAGAAACTTCCTAACTGTAAGAGTGGTTGAGCAGTGGAACAGACTGCCTCAGGAAGTGGTGGATGCTCCTTTGCTGGATGTTTTCAAGCAGAGGCTGGACGGCCATCTTTTGGGTATGTTGTAGGGCTATCTTTCGCCTATGCTCCTGCAGAGTGACCTGCAAGGTCCTTTCCAACTCTAACAATTTATGATTCTATGAACCCAAAGGGCTCCTGGCGGCACCACTATCTCAGCCAACGATTCACCTCAAGTATGGTCTGTTCTCTTTGCACTCTTCTTCCTTTGACTGGAAGGATAGAAGAGAATACCACCTGTGCCCCCAATGCCTTAAACTGCCTTCCAAGAGCTTCATAGTCCTCTTTAATTTTCATGATGGTATTCGCGGCCGTGTCATTTGTCCCTACATGGACCAGCACAAACGGTACTGATCAGTAGGTCATATCAGTTTTGGCAGTCAGTCTGTAATATCCTGAGTTTTGGCCCCAGGTAAGCAACACCTCTTGGGGTAGGGGATCCAGCCTGGACACATTACGTTCCATGCCCCTGAGCAGAGAGTCCCTGACCACCACCACTTTCCGTTTCCTTCCACCTCCGTGCGGCACTCCCTTTTCCAAGTCTTTGTGGCTCTCCTTCCACTCTCATCTCCATCACCCTGTGAAGCACCTCAAAACGATTCTTGAGCTCCAGTGGACCAGAGTGTCGTCTTAGTTGGTGTCTTCGGGTTTGTACTGTAGAACTAAGAGGAGGCTCAGAAGGGAGATTGACTCTTCCTACTTCTCCTTGACTTACTTCTTCATGTTCTACAGTTCCCAGGCTTTTATCAATGAAATCCTCCCCTTCCTTGATTTCCTGAAGGGTGGTGATCCTCTCCTGCAGGCTCTGAATGTTCTCCTCCAAAAGCCTGACCAGCTTACACTTCTGACAAGTGAAGTCCGTTGTCTCTTCCGGGAGGAAAACAAACATGGCACACTCCATGCAGGTGACTGGAAAGGGGCCTTCAGTCGACATCATTGCCATCCAAGTATATTCCAAGAGTACACTGAGCAGAGTTTTGTGGCCCTCAGGCAGATCCTCAACACAGTAGGGGGCAGGGCAACTCACTCAGTCCCCAGCAACCCCCAAAACACAATTAGCCCCGAACAGAACTTAAACAGAACCACTCTCTAGCAAGCTCCAAAGAACCCACTCACCCTCAGCTTTTCACACAACATGGAAGGCCCATCTGCTTGCTGGGATGTAAAAGGCAAGCTGGTCCTGTTGACTTCTTTGTTGTTTGTATATAGTTTTTAATGGATTTACTGACTTTACTAGCATGTTAATTTATTATTTAATTATATTTTAATTATATTTGATTTCTTGTTGCTTTTGTTTTGCGCTTTTGTAAGCCACATTGCATGTCAGGAGTAGGCTGAATACATGTGGAGGCTGCAAAATGCTTTAAGCTGTTTTTGTGCTTTGACTGAGAATTTTAATGGTTTGTGAATTTTTTTTTTGACTTGCCCAAATTGGGCAAAGTTTATTATTATTTTTGAACAATTTACATAAAAAAGAGCCATACATTTTAAAATAGCAAGCCGAATATCTCGCTCACATCATCATATTTGCATACAGCTTCCCATTTCCCCCCCTTGTTTTATTTTGTATTCAATAACATATGCTATTAAACCAAGTATCTATTCCCTTTGCAAAACCAATTCATCAATATTCTATCTGCTATATTTCATTTTATCAGTACTATACTATTATTATTCTATTTTATGTCAATATAAAAACAACAGAAAAGAAAGAGTCATAACTTATCAGTTTAACTATGCTAAAGAAAGTATATATTTCTTCTAAATTAACAATCTATTCCCTTTAAATATTCTTTCACATTTTTAACACTGTTAGTTTTCAAAACCCCATTAACTAGCAAGCCTAAATTAATAATGTATTATTTTCCTTCAAA